TTATCCGCTCCAATGCCTTTATCCGCTCCAATGCCTTTATCCGCTCCAATGCCTTTATCCGCTCCAATGCCTTTATCCGCTCCAATGCCTTTATCTGCTCCAATGCCTTTATCCGCTCCAGTGCCTTTATCAATGGCTAGAGTATTCATTTGCATTACATCATTCGTCAACATATTGTCCATATGATTTGAGAATGGATCCTTTGTATGACTTGCGACCGTGTTCCACGTATAAGTTGTAAATGGATTTTCCATATAATTTATGAATGAATTTTCCATATTATGCGTGAATGAATTTTCCATATTATATGTGAATGAATTTTCCATATTATTTGTGAATGAATTTTCCATATTATTTTCAAATGAACTTTCCATATGACTTGTGAAATTATTTTCCGTATGATTTGTGAAAGAATTTTCCGTATAATTTGCGAAAGAATTTTCTGTAAAATTTGCGAAAGTATCCCCCCCTCCATAATATGAGAATATATCCTCATCCTCCTCCATATACTTTGTAAATGAAAAGGTCATGTTTCGTGAATGTGAAGGTTAATTTCTGCTATTTTTATAAAATAAATATGAATTATATTTATGTTATTAATTTAATAAAAAATTTCAGATCCACTAATTACTTACGTGAAAGTGGTCTTTTTTTTTTTTTTTTTTTTATTTTTATTTTTTTTTGATTATTTTCTTATTTATTTTTTTTTTGATTTTTTTTTTTTTTTGATTGTCTGACGTCTCTTATTAGTCGTACTAATCACGGTTGTATTATACGTTATCTATCGGTATTACGTTTTATATGCTCGAAATGCTCAAGGTTTGTATTTATGCACCTGCTTTTTATTCTTATGCTACACTTCACCTTTCTAACACCAAACCTCTCCTTCTTCACTGAACTTCCTATTCACACACATGATGATATCTCTTTTTGCTTGTCTTATTTAGGGTAACGAAGCAAAGGTCAATTTTAAAGATCGAATTTCATATTTATTGATTTTTTTAGTATAATATGTACAATTACATCACTGATTGTCAATATATAGACTCGAATTAGACTTTAAATTACTTAGAATAGTCTGTCATTATTACGATTTGAATCACAATTTGAATCACTACTGCACTTATATTACGATTTGAGTCATTATATTACGATTTGAACCGAAGAAGTATTCGTGTAACTGATCATACACTGCTTTGCATGATTACATCATAATTATACCATTACACAGTACTGATCGACATAACCTGGCACAGAATGGAGGGGTGCCTGTAACAATCTGACATGAAGCAGTATACGATATAAACGACTTGCTATTGCAATAATTCAACACGACCAAATAACAATTTTTATTTAGCGAACT